ATTAATACTGTTGATATATGGACCACATTACCGAGCATATTTAGAACATAGGAGAACTTACTGAGTTTAACACAAACACTCTCAATATGCGCTTTCCAGTTTTTAATCGAGGTTCGAATCCAAGGTTATAATCAAAAGTTATATCTAAAAACTTTATTAAGTCCACTTCCTTAACGCTCTTTCCACAATGCTCAACGTCGATTGATACAAGGGTTCTAGGTCTATTTCGAAATGTCATAACATGAGTTTTGTCTATATCTTTATATATATAATTCTTCTGTGAGTGTGTATGTCACTGAACTTCTCTTAAACGACTGGACCGATTTTGATGAAATTTTTTGTGTGTGTTCAAGGGGATCTGAGAATGGTTTAGATTCACAATTTTGTCCGCTGGACAATCCCTATTTTTTTAGGGCGGTACGAAGTTCGCTGGGTCAGCTAGTTCATTAATAAATTATTTTAAGATTCGAATAGCAGTCTTTGTATTCTAAAATCGGTTAGTATATTAGTCATAATGATGGAAATGTCGATATCTCCAAAAAATACACATAGCAGCCCCCGTAGCATAAGCACTACAATTTACGTTATATCACGTTTTTTATCGCGTCTAACTGTCAAACTCCATAGTAATTTGACAATTGAGCGTGATAAAAACGCGTTATATATCATATCGCGGTGGTCATGCTACGAGGGCTGAAATTGGTTTCATAACGACGATATAAAACTTATAACGGTTTTTTCTGAATAGCCTCAACTACATGAGCAAATACTGCTGCACTGACTGCTTAAAATCTAAATTAATAATGATGGTCAGAAAAAAAACCACGCTAGATCTTTTTCATCATCATCATCAGCCTATTAATGTCCAAACTGCGGGGGCACAGGCCTTCCCTATGCAAGAAATAGGGAGATTAGGCAATGAATGACCCACCACGCGGGCCCAGTGCGGATTAGTTGGTGTTAACGACTGCAGATGCAGCCGGGATCAACGGCTTAACGTGCCTTCCGATGCACGGAGGAACTCGAGATAGTAGATTTTTGGTCACCCATCCAATGACCGACCACTCCGAAAGTTGCTTAACTTCAACAATCGCAACCGACCGCGCTAACCACCTGCATCATAACAGAACTTTTCAACATGCACTAATTTAGTTTGATTATATTCTTGCGAACAGTTAAATTGCTAATATAAATATTCATAGTCCAGTATGCGGATAACACGACCACTATATAGATAGAATGAGCACTATTTTATGCATAATTTACATAATGAACCGCTAAACTAGTGCTTGGTAAGTAGTTCGCAAACTGCATAGTATACGATGCGGATATAAAAGCATTTTTGCAGGCCGGCAAGGTCGGGATGGTTGGTGTGGCAGTTTATAACTGCTGTACCAGCCATCTTCGCGTTTGGACTTTATCACCACTTAACTTCAGGCCTCAGGGGTAGAGTCATTTGCCTGGCTAAATAAAAACGTACAAAAAAAACATGTACTTAGCTCTTACTTAATTTCTACTTAGCATTTGATTTTACGTTTGGTTGTTAATCGAATAACATAATCATTAAGTATGGTATGATCTACATTTTTTGATGATCAGCTAATTAATTGAATCTTTTTAAAATTATGATAATTTAATCAATTCGAAGAAGCATTCTATAATATTTGTTTTTTAGGGTTTTACGCACATCACTCATTACGGTAGTTAGGGTAAAATAAATAAACTCAAAATTATAAAAAAGGATTTAATTAAGTACTTTATTATTTATTATTAAATTAGCTAATAAATACATACATAGACAATAAAGTTTTTAAATTCCATTCCAACTAAATATCCGAATGCTCAATAAAAGTCTTTCGAAGGTGGCTCGACAAAGTAAATAAAAAAATATTATTCCGACGAAGCATTCCTGCAAAGGATGCGAAACGTCAATAAATAAATAATATCAGTACAAATCTAAAGAAAAGTTTACTAGAAAAAAAATCCACGCGGACCAGGCAGCGGACGGGACTCGAACCCGCACCCTTCGCAATCCGGGCGAATGCACTGACCATTATGCTACCACGGCCCTATTCGCCGCGTCGAAATTTTCCTAGCCTTAAGCTGCAAGGCAGCGCCATCTCTTCGCATTGTAGGTAATCCACAATGTCAAATGAATACTTTTTCAAGTATTAAACATTTGCAAAAAGAAATAGCAATTATAGTTATGTTTCTATTTATTTTTAAGCATTTAACTGCTAGATGTTTAAATTTAAAGAAAAGTTTACTAGAAAAAAAAATGGGTGCGTGTACTTATGTAGGCGCGTGAGAAGTTATCCTTCTTTGGCATCGTTTAAAATTAGTTTTTAATTGCATGCAAATAATTAATTACAATAAATTAATAAAAAGTCTGGAAAAGGACACAGTCAATAAAGTTCAGTTTTAATTTGAAAAAATAAATAAATAATCAAAATATTCAATTAAAATCGCTACTGAATATAATTTATTAGAACATATGTGATTTGCACTTGTATGAAACTCAATCACGTATTCCGAATATACAAACTAGAAACATGTGGATAAATATTATAAACTAGCGGCCCGCCCTCGCTTCGCTTCGGTGTAGAGCTGAAGTGTAGACTACAGTTTTTGTTCTCAGGCTTGTATTATACACAATGACATTCATCTATGATTCTTCTTATACCTGCATGCAAAGTCTCAGCCCGATCGGTTTAAAATTGATAAAGTTTCATACAAACTTTCATTCCTTATTTTATCCCCTTGGGATTTTCTTTATATTTTTTTCCGTAAGAACCTTGTACAGAGTATTAGAAAACTACAAAAAAAAAACAGCCAAATCGGTCAAGCCGTTAAAGCTAAAGCGACCAACTTCATGGTGTTAATTTTTTGTGTTACAGATGCGCGCGCATCTTAAAATTTCACTCTCATATTTTTTTTATAACGCGCCTAAAGAAGTATAACTTCAAAAACCACGCGGACCAGGCAGCGGACGGGACTCGAACCCGCACCCTTCGCTAACTTTTCCTTAGATTTAAACATCTAGCAGTTAAATGCTTAAAAATAAATAAAAACATAAATATCAGTACATCTAACCCCGTTGAAACTTGTTTTATTTAGTATTCTATAAAATCTAATTTTGTCTCTGTTAAGCATTTATTTTAGGGGTAAGGCTAATCTCTTACCGGTGATATGATATTAAATGAAATAAAGTAATTTAAGGAGGAGAAAATTTTGCTAAAAGAAAACCACGCTGACGGGCAGCGGACGGCACTCGCACCATAATGAGGGCTACCGTTTTCTGTCTCACCAGATGGCGCCACTGTTGAGTGAGCTCCTAAATTGTAACTTTTAAAGTCTATTAATACGCACATGAAATCAAAGGTTACATTAGTATTTTAACACAAAAGAACCATATCCTAAACATAATAGGCCATGCCACAGTGACACCCAGTTCCGTTTTATTCGGAAAAAATGAGAACATAATCATTTTTGTAAGCTCAAATTTTTAATAACTGACATTCATTGCCACATAACTCATATTTGCCATAATTAAGTCGAATTGTTACCAATTATTCACAACATTATTTTAATAAGAAATAAACCCGCGTAGTCAACCAACAAGCAATAACATTTGACATTTCGGAGACCTCACGCTACACTAGCGCCTCTAGCGGCGGATTCATACGCGATAGCCCTCATTGACCGTATCGATATTTTTCTAGTATTTCATAGTGTTAACGCCATCTATCCTTCGAAGAGAGAAGCTGCAATCGGTCCATCATCATCGTTCGTTCATACATTCATTTCGTACCCATTCGTTACTACATTCACTCATTTTGATTTATATAGATTCACTCTCCCTCTTGCTTTCGAATTCAAAAAAGACAACGTACGTACATAATTATAATAAGATCTGTATTTTACTATGAATAATATTCTACAATCTGAATATCCGATTTTTATTGAGAAATCTACATATAGAAGACACTAAGCTATAAGCTTAGACACATATGGTTAGGTATAAATGCTTAAAAATATAGCCTTCTTTTGTTAAAAACTATTTGTTAATACCCGAAATCTTGTAGAACTCTTTTTACAAGTTTTTATAAATTATTTTTGCCTTTTTTACGCAATGGCACGACATTACACAGATACTTCACACACGTTATTTACTTATTATAAACTTTAAATAAACTAAGGTTTATAATCACCTATACATCCTTCCGTTTTAAGAGTTCCAACACCGACGTTGTTAAGTGGTTTGTACGCCGGGTTTCATGGTGTCGCCGAATCGAGAGGTTCCCGGTTCAAATCCCGGTGGGGGCAGATGTTTGTATGATGAACACGAGCATTTGTACTCTAGTCATGGATGTTTAATATGTATTTCTCTATAAATATACTTATATACGTACTGTATATGTATTCTATCCGTTACCCTAGCATCCCATAACACAAGCCTTACAGTGCTTACTTGGCGCCAGGCTAATTGGTGTGTGTAAAAAAAACAGGGTAACTCAACTACTGCGCCAACCACAGGCGTCTCACAGCTAGGGCTGCCAGGCCATAAAATGCAAAGGCCGGACTGCGCACTATATAAGGCATTTTGCCATTTTGCCCTAAAAGCCGGACATATTTTTTTTATTGCCAAACATAATGTTTTTACAGCGGGGCTGCTGAAAAAAGTATTTATACGTGATGTAAATAAGATCGAAAATTGAAGCGCCAACAGTTTGCTCTCTTCTCCGTTCGGACGTTCGTCCGCCCATCGTCGTACGAATCGCCACTCTGACAAAAAGCCTGACAAAAGCCGGACCGGCCAAACACGTACATATTTGGCCGGACGCGACCGCAAAAAGCCAAACATGTCCGGCTAAAGCCGGACACCTGGCAAGCCTACTCACAGCCGCCATTCACTTTGAATCACAATCAGGCTGCACTCTCCACTAATTTTATAAATAAAGGTAATTCTGATATTAATGTAACCGTTGTTTTGTCCGCAGTTCTGGGAGATTATATCAGAGGAGCACGGCATTGACCCTGTGGGGGTGTACCGCGGCACCAGCGACCTCCAGCTCGAGCGAATCTCAGTCTACTACAATGAGGCCTCTGGTGAGTACACCATATTTTTCGTATCAATTCGCATCCGCTAAGAAAGGATTTTGATCAATTCTACCCCCAAGGGGATAAAATAGGGAATGAAAGTTTGTATGAAACTTTGTCAATTTTAAACCGATCGGGCTGAAGACTTTGCATGCAGGTATAAGAAGAATCATAGATGAATGCCATTGTGTATAATACAAGCCTGAGAACAAAAACTGTAGTCTACACTTCAGCTCTACACCGAAGCGAAGCGAAAGCGGACCACTAGTATATAACTAATTTTCGACCAAAGTGGCGGCATAGGGGCTTTTACCTTTTCACTGTCGATTTAGTACTCTTAGTACCTACCTTAACTACGGTACCTACTTCTATGAGAAAAGAAGGTCATATAATTTACGTTTCTCCCAAACGGCCATTCCTGTATTTCCGCGTTCGCGTGTTTATCCTCCAATAATCCTTGCCGTGAATAACAAGATTACACGTCGGACGGACGGACGGACAATGACAATTGGCTAAAGCGACACTCAGGCGGCCGTTGACCCCGACATTACGCTAATTACTAATTCACTGCCTGGTTCATGACCATTATGATTGCTCGCTGACATCTTAGGAGCCTAACTCGTTGAAAACGTGTAAACTTTACTACAATAATAATAATATAAATTAAGGATAAAACCCCAATCATTGAGTGAACAATCTATCTTATCCTGTTTTCCTCCCTAGAGCTGGGATTTTTTCTTACAAAATTTATATGGGGCCAACTTCGGTGAATATACCCTTTCCCTTTCCAATAAAAGAAGAATTATTGTTTTAAACTTTCATGGTCACTAACAGTATAGAGTCTGTGCGGAAAGAGAATGGGATTTAGATTGGAGGGCGCTGTAGTGGTTTTCTACCGTATTTGTAAGGTTTTACCCCTTTTAGACATGATTAAATACAAAAAACCGCAAGAAATCACAACAACAAACAAATCCGTATCAATACAAAACTTTGACGTTTTACAGATTGATGGGTTTGATTGCCAAATAAAAATCTTAATGTTTTAGTGTTAGTTCCGTTTTTCGCCACGCCCATTCTCTTTCCACACAGACTCTAGTAATTTATGTTATTTACGGGATTGTTCCCATTTACCTTGTTTTTAGCTAGTTTCCGATATTTCGCCACTGTTTTTTTTTATAGTTCTGCTTCCTATGACTCGATTCAGAGACATTTTATACCTTTATATTTTATCTATCTGTTTTTATAACGACGAATTTCGGCACTGTTTCAAGCGCCATGATCACGGAATAACTGGAAAAAGAATAATTATCTAAATCGCACAATGATCTAAAACCCTAACTTACGATGTAAAAAGTTATGCGTGGTCAATGATCATTAGGGTTGCCAACCCTACTATATAATAAAGTATCCTACTATATTACAGGATTACTATATTTCTAAAAAAATATAATTATAGTACGCAATACTTTGTTTAAAGTAGACTTTTGCCAGTTAATGCTTTCATAAAAAAACAACTGAAGTATTAAGGAAGAGCAGCAAAAATATCCTAATTTTAAAAAATGAAGTAAATATTTTGACTACAAACTATTTTCTTTTTGCATTTTTTGACATCTTCTATATTTTTAAAGGTAACAGCTTCGAAAATACTATATTTGATAGAAAAAAAGTTGGCAATCCTAATGATTATACATAAAAAAATATATCTCGTGTCGACTTGAGCGCCCCTTTTTTGTCGTCGGTTAAAAACCCTGTCGACTTTATATGCCATTAGAAATACGCTATATTAATATCTAGCTTATAAAGTGGATAAACTCATATCAGCAAAAAACTATGAGATACCATCGCTCCATTATAAAGATCGCCATTTGAAAAGTTCCTAATCCACTTTCTCTTAAGATTTATCAAGCATTCATAATCATTAAGTCATTATTCGATAAAAACAGTATTCGTTTTATAGTTATTAAGTTATGATTAATGAGATAGAACAACTACTTTACATTAAGCGATAAAAATCTTTCATAAATCACATTCATTAATCATTTTTTTAGGGTTCCGTAGGGGTAAAACTGGACCGGGGATCCCGCGGTTTCGCACTAAGCAGCTTAGAGGGTATTCGCAGGGTTTTTTAGCGGATATTATGCCGTAAAGCGCCCGTAAGTGTTACGGGGTCCTCAGTGGGCAGCCACTGTGGGGGCTCGTAAGGTTTGCGGGAGCCAGGTATGAGGTCCGTTCGGCAGTGTGCCTCTTAAAGGCGCCGTCGTCTGTAAACAGAGCTTTTGCCTGCGTTACAAAAAAAAAGAAAAAAAGGGGTTAAAACTGGACCCTATTACTAAGACTCCATGGTTCGTCTGTCTGTCTGTCTGTCACCAGACTGTATCTCATGAATCATGATAGTTACAGTTGAAATTTTCACAGATGATATATTTCTGTCGCCGCTATAACAGCATATACTACAAACAGAATAGAATTTAAGTGAGGCTCCTATACAACAAACGTGTTTTTTGCCACTTTTTGATCGATATTATAATATTAGTGTCTAACGTTGTAAAGCTTGATGGTACAGGTGGTTAGCGCGTTTGGCTGCGATCGTTGAAGTTAAGCAACTTTCGCAATGGTCGGTCATTGGATGGGTGACCAAACATCTTCTTTCGCGAGGTCCTCCGTGCTTCAGAAGGCACGTTAAGTCGTTGGTCTCGGCTGCATCTGCAGTCGTTAGCACCCGCCAATCCGCACTGGGTTCGCGTGGTGGATCATGGCCCAATCTCCCTATTCCATCCATAGGAAAGGCCTGTACCCCAGAAATGGGGACATTAATAGGCTGCTGATGAACGTTGTAAAGATAATGGCACGGATCCCTTCGTGCGCGAGCCCAACTCGCACATGGCCGGATCGTCATGATAAAAAAGGCATACAGCCACGAAAATGTTGCAGGAATTAGCTAAGGGCAACATATTCATACTTTCTGTCCGTTTTACGTAAAAATTCTTCCTATCAAAAATCACATTATATAAAGTATTTTCGCGTACTTTATTGTTGGCATAAACAATAAAGTACGCGAAAATACTTTATATATAAAACTTTATAATAAAGTACGGGTGGCAATCCTTGTCAACATTATATCTCCCCCACTAATTCTTTGTTTATAGAATAATATATATACCTATATTTTTAGTTGTTAAAAGCTTAGTCAGAAATTATACTCCAATACATTAACAAGCGCAGTGGTGTTATTATTTAACTAGGGAGCCTGCAACCCGTAACAAACATACAAACGTTCAACATTAATAGTTACCATACTCCTCCGAACCGGCCTGACCGATTTGTATGAAATTTTATATGCATATTCCGTGGGTCTGAGAATTAGCTACTATCTATTTTTCATATCCTTAAGTGATAATGGTTGTCCACCAGTAACGTAGTGTTCTGAAATCTACAATGCGCCTTCGTGCCAAAATTCATACTACTGGGTATTGTAACGTAGTGTTCTCATATGGGTTAGGAGGAATGTTATCCCAGGAAATTGATAGAACACTACGTTACAAACTCCTAAAATTTTTTTTGGACATTATTTATTTTTTTATAATGTGGTATTATTAAAAATACATACAACCTAAAATTTTCTCTTCTACCACCTGCCCCTATTTTTATGGTATGAAGTTCGCTGGGTCAGCTAGTTATATATATTAGGATTGAAAGTAGGATATATATTTATGGAGTTCTATCGGTGTCTAGATTATCGTACGCCTGGCCGCCTTCAGCTAACTGTCCTAACTGTACTTGCAATAATACTGGACGCTAGATACGTAGATAGTCTCGCCAACCAACAGTTACACTAAACGCAAACAATGCAGAAAATATAAATCGCATTTCCTGCTTGTAGGGCGATTCTGTAAACTAAAATCTCACTTCCGATTTCGGTAGCTGCCATTTTTATAATATTGGGTTAGGGAAAAAGTTTCTTCACAATGATTCACTTCACTTAATATGAAAATTCAAAACATTTTTCAATAAAGTTTACTTCAATTTAACTAATGCCACAAACATGTTGCCTAAACAATTTTATAGAGACTGGAACAGGTGGAAGTCTGAAGGTGCAAGGTCAGGGCTATACGGCGGCTGCATTAACACCTCCCAGTCAATTTTTGTTGTCTGGCAAGGCATTAGGCATTAATTTGTTAGTATTACGCCATTACACGGCAAAATGTCACTATGTCTGCAAAAGCAGCCAGTATTAAATATTTGACATTTGTCAGAAATCAGAATAAATGAGTTCGTAAGTGAATGTGCACCTTACAGTATACCTATGTTGTATTGTGCAATTGAAGCCACAGAACAGTACGCTTAAAACTAGTACACTTTTACAATTACGAAAACTATGATAGTTTTCGTGAGCTCGCACTCGTTGATTTTATTGTTTTCGCTTAAAAACAAATAAACATTGTTTTAATTCTATCATTAAATCATTTGCGTCTTCTTAAATTTTAGTATATTTGGTTACTTTTCACCAAAATGGACATAGAAACGTAATTTACAATTACGAAAACTATGATAGTTTTCGTGAACGCAAACTCTTACTAAGGGTACAGAAAAAAAGATTGTAACCTTTTTACAAGAGAGGTAGGACAAAGCGGATTCTCTGCTCGAATTAGAGCGCCTGCCTGGGGAAGTAACCTTACCTTACAGAAGGGCACGGTATAATTACACTACCTTTGGTGATGTTGCGTTTTTGTCAGTGAGTAAGGTTCCATTTAACGGCTGCGATCGTTGAACTAAAGCAACTTTCGTAGTGGTCGGTCACCAATGACCACCCATCCAAATGGCTGACCAAAAATCTTCTATCTCGAGATTCTCCGTGCTTCACTTTTAATATAAAACTAGCAAACCAGTGAACCAAATGCTCACCAAAACCTGATTTAAAAAAAAATGTATTTAATTAATTGAGAACTTCGGAGATTTTGTGTGGTTTCGTTTGAAATTCGTGATTTCTCGAAAACCGGAAGTGCTACGTTACTCAAATCCGGTTTGTAGTCTTATCAGACTTATTCTTAACTTATAACTTAAACATTCTCTTTATCTATCTCTTACGGTTTGGCCGCTGAAACAGCACCACAGACGGACGGACGGACGGACTTTTCTAATAGATAAGAGATACCCCACATATTGGTAATATCAGTGATTAATTAAGAGAGGAGGCGGACAATGTTTACCATTCAAACAAAACCAAACCAAACGTGATAAAAATCAAGAAGGAATCAGTCAGAAACGAGTGCATTCGTCCGGATAGCGAAGGGTGCGGGTTCGAGTCCCGTCTGCTGCCTAATCCGGGTGGATTTATTAAGTCAGCTTAATAAACTATTTATACCAGAGGCCCAAGGACGAACGTCGACAGCTCCTTAATCGTAACGCATCGTCAAATGCGATGCGATTTTCTATGAAAACAACAGTTATCGGACGTAACAACAAACTGCGTCCTTTTATAAAAAAAAATACGATGACGATACAATTAAGGATCTACCAAAGTTCGCTCATTGACGACCTCCGTGGCCGAGTGGTTTGTACGCCGGGTTTCATGGTGTCGCCGACTCGAGAGATCCTTCTTGGGTTCAAATCCCGGTGGGAGCAGATGTTGGTGTGATGAATACGAGCATTTGTACTCCAGTCATGGATGTTTAATATGTATTTTCTACATAAATATACTTATATATGTACAGTATATGTATTCTATCCATTACCCTAGTATCCCATAACACAAGCCTTATAGTGCTTACTTTGGGGCTAGGCTCATTGGTGTGAGTGTTCGTGCTTGGACCTCTGAATACGATAAGCGAAACATTCGAAAGGAATTTACAATAAGTCTAGTTGTTAAGGCATGATTAGAGGTTCTGCCTACACCGGAACGTCGCTCCATTTCCACCAGTAGCAGCAGCTTTGACCGCCACGTGATCAAAAACCCCCCCTCTACACTTGTAACTCTCTAGGCAATTAAAATTTTTGTACGCTCAACTTTCTTTCGCAATTTTCGTTTCATTTATTTATTTTGTAATTATATTCGCAATATACTACTCATTACTCAAGAAACCACTGAGCTTTATTGAAGAGTACGCATAACATCGATACACAAGTATTCCTTATTATATTTTAAAAAGATCTGTCATATACAGTCTTTCGTAATAGCCTGTCTGTCTTCGATCTATGTTAATACATTACAGATGAAAGTAGATTACTATAGTAGGTACCTAATTAAAGTTATCTTGACGATATAAATTGTTTCGATCGCAATATTTCATCGAACAAGGAGTCTTTTCATCTTGTGACACAGAATGGGCCGTTGTTTATCGATGCAATTAAAACAATATTGCAGATAACTATCGGCCGGTATTTTAACATCAGTAACTTTCTACGTGATTCATAAGATACTAGCAAAGTAGCAAACCAGTGAACCAAATGTTCACCAAAACCTGATTTAAAAAAAAATGTATTTAATTAATTCAGAACTTCGGAGATTTTGTGTGGTTTCGTTTGAAATTCGTGATTTCTCGAAAACCGGAAGTGCTACGTTACTCAAATCCGGTTTGTAGTCTTATCAGACTATTCTTAACTTATAACTTAAATATTCTCTTTATCTATCTCTTACGGTTTGGCCGCTGAAACAGCACCACAGACGGACGGACGGACTTGTCTAATAGATAAGAGATACTTCAGGACACATCTATAGGCCTATTTAGTATTATAAGTTTCAACGGTCTTTAGCAAAAATATAAGTTTATGTTAGAGCAATAATTTTAAAAACACACGTAAATATGGTTAATAAATCAGCTTCAAAACTGCTTAGGTAATAACTTTTTGCTCAATGTAACATTATTTTTGGTTAGAGACAGCTAAAACTTAAAATGCTAGGTGGGCCGACAGTTGTGTCCGGAAGTATATTTCATTACTTTGTTTTTGTTACTTACTTTTTTGTTGTTTAATTACGTATTCAAATTGAATCCATGTTTGATTTTGAAAAGAGATACCTAAGTTTTGATGAAATGAAATGAAATCATAACAATAGCATAATATGACAAAAATATAAGTTCATCTATAGACGGTCAACCAGGGACCCTGCCTCAGCATAAGCTGACGTAGTGAGAAAAGAAAATACTTCTCTCACGATGTCGGCGCTGGTATTCTGGCAGGGCCTGTGCAAGGTCGCTTTAATGGATTATAAAAACATTCAAAAACCAAGTAAACACGTAAAACAGAACAATAAAGAAACCCACATCACTGTAGAGTATATATATATAATATATGTATATTAATATGACGAAAATTATAACTATTTGTATACCTATAATTTTGTACATAAATATGTCTAAGTATATAATGAACATAAACCATGTACCGGATGTACACAATTTAATTTATTTTAGATGTAATTGATAACCAATATTTAATGTTCCATGCTTTCGTTTCATCAACACTTGCTGATTGTTGGATTAATCGACCGTCACGCAGACAACGCAACAACCACGACACGCAATCGTCCCAATCACTAGCGCACAGCTTCACTTTTGTTTTTTTACGTAAAAATTAAAACAAAATCAATAAATCTCTAATGCTATTGATGAAATGAAACCCCAAAATTAAAACCAAAGTTCGGATTATGTTTACGTCATCATCATCATCATCAGCCTATTAATGTCCCCACTGCTGGGGCACAGGCCTTCCCTATGGATGGAACAGGGAGATTGGGCCATGACCCACCAAGCGGGCCCAGTGCGGATTGATGGGTGCTAACGACTGCAGATGCAGCCGGGACCAACGGCTTAACGTGCCTTCCAAAGCACGGAGGAGCTCGAGATAGTAATTTTTGGTCACCCATCCAATGACCGACCACTGCGAAAGTTGCTTAAGTTCAACGATCGTAGCCGAACGCGCTAACCATTTGCGCCATCGAGCTCCTCGTTATGTTTACTTTACGTACCTATGCTATGTACTTTACGTATATATGCTTATGTTTACGTACCTATATCTAAACCGTTTCTTCTTTGTCCCCAGTTGCGACGGCGGAGAACGGGGGCAAGTACGTCCCCCGCGCCATCCTGCTCGACCTCGAGCCCGGCACCATGGACGCCGTCCGCTCCGGCGTGTACGGCCAGCTCTTCCGCCCGGACAACTTCGTGTTCGGCCAGTCCGGCGCCGGCAACAACTGGGCCAAGGGACACTACACAGAGGGCGCAGAACTAGTCGACGCGGTGCTCGACGTCGTCCGCAAGGAGTGCGAGAACTGCGACTGCCTCCAGGGCTTCCAGCTCACGCACTCCCTCGGCGGCGGCACCGGCTCAGGCATGGGCACCCTCCTCATATCTAAAATCCGCGAAGAATACCCCGACAGAATTATGAACACCTACTCAGTTGTACCGTCGCCCAAAGTGTCAGATACAGTAGTAGAACCCTACAATGCCGTCCTCTCCATACACCAGCTCGTAGAAAACACAGACGAAACTTACTGCATAGACAACGAGGCCCTCTACGACATCTGCTACAGAACACTCAAAGTCCCCAACCCGACCTACGGCGACTTGAACCATCTAGTCTCTCTCACCATGTCCGGCGTTACCACGTGCCTGCGGTTCCCCGGCCAGCTGAATGCGGATCTCCGCAAGCTGGCGGTGAACATGGTCCCGTTCCCGCGTCTCCACTTCTTCATGCCCGGTTTCGCCCCCCTGACGTCTCGCGGCAGCCAGCAATACCGAGCGCTGACGGTGCCCGAGCTGACGCAACAGATGTTCGACGCCAAGAACATGATGGCGGCGTGCGACCCGCGCCACGGCCGCTACCTCACCGTGGCCGCCATCTTCCGCGGACGCATGTCCATGAAGGAAGTCGACGAACAGATGTTGTCGATTCAGAACAAGAACAGCAGCTTCTTCGTCGAATGGATCCCGAATAACGTGAAGACGGCGGTGTGCGACATCCCTCCCAAGGGTTTGAAGATGTCTTCGACTTTCATCGGTAACACGACGGCTATTCAGGAGTTGTTCAAGAGGATATCGGAGCAGTTCACAGCCATGTTCAGACGTAAAGCCTTCTTGCATTGGTACACCGGCGAGGGCATGGACGAGATGGAGTTCAATGAAGCTGAGAGCAACGTCAATGACCTGGTGTCCGAGTACCAGCAGTACCAGGAGGCGACGGCGGAGGACGACACGGAGTTTGACCAGGAGGACATGGAAGAGCTGGCCCAAGATGAGCAGCACGACTAACTTGCTTGGAGAGGTTACGTACTCATCCTTTGTGATAACAATAAGTGCTGGTCAAATAACGTGGATATTGTCTCTTTCATTAGTAATCAATTTTCACACAGCTAGGTAATTTTGAACAAAAGAAAGTTGCATATAAACATCATAATCATACGCTAATCACTTTCTACCAAATGTACAATGTGTAAGCGATTATTTGTTTTAATATAAGGTCATTTAATAAAAGCAATTAGTTGTGTGAAAATTATCTACTAAATAAGTCAGGACAAACAGGTTTAGCTGGTATATATTTAAAATGTGCCGTCAACTTCAAAAAGGTGCATGTTACGAAGTAGACCTTGATAATTACTTCTATAAATACATATTTTCTAAAATAATATGAGAGGCTACACTTTGATGAGTGCGTCTGTGCAGCATTAAAATTGTTCTACTTTATCCAAAGCGTCCTATTGCGCATTCAAAATTCGATTTTATTATTAATAGCGTTCGATCTCGCACTATTATCCGTCAATTAAGTGTGACGCGTCGTAAGAGTGCAAAATGATAATAATAATATTTTATTATAATATCGAATACCTAGTATTATTTTTATCGAAGTCTGTTTTTTAAAAAAAAAAGAATTTTAAATAGATAAAGCTAAGAGTCAGATTTTTTGTAGGAAACGTACCAATCTGTGCATTTCTTAGCTTAAGTTATTGTAATGTCTTGTATGCTTTTTATATATTAATTTATAATTAAATGTTTTTAACAAAATTCAACTATTTGTATCATTTCTCTGCGAGTCCATACCCTTAATTGATTGTTAAAACTAAACTGAAATAATGGAACAAATAGGTCTATTCACGATGTTCTACTGTCTAATAAACTAATAGAACTGAGATGCTAAAAAACACATCTGTTCTACTACATGGTATTAAAATAATTCGTCATGATTATATAAACGAAATATTATTTATTTATTATATTTATAGTACTGTCAGGGAAAAAACTATTAAGAAACCAACAATTTAATTTTTAAACCTTTGTGGCACCCCAAAAAAGTAACTGTTACTTCCCTAAGCTCTTTTGTAACAGAGCAAATTGATAAAAATAATAAATATATATCAGTGTTTCTTTACAATAAGAAAAGCCTTTGACACCGTATCTGTTCTCATCCTTTTCAAAAAGGTGAAATATCGGAATACGGGGCAACCCATTAAAACTTCTACAAAACTATTTATCTGACAGAAAGCAAAGGGTTAAATTGAAACGGTGCTTAAGTGGGGATGCTGATGAGTCATACGGAGTTCCCCAAGGAAGCGTATTGGGTCCTACTTAATTTTTAGTATTCATAAACGATTTATTGTAATTTGAAAGATTAAGAACGCTGAAACTCTCTTATACGCAAATGCTACAGCAATTATCTACTCCGGAAATTCCTGTAAAAATAGTACTGCAATAGGTATGGCTCGTATATACACATGGTTAAAATACAACTAACTCTCGCCAAAATACTTCTACAACCAAATATAATATATTTAAGCCTGTATGACAATAATCAGCCCGCAAACTTTCTGACTTCCTGATTGCAATAACATCATATATTTACAATAATATCAACAAATAATTGGCATCTACCCCCGGCCATACAATGATGCATCAAAGTCAGTAATTACTCAAATAAAACAGGTTTCAATGGTATAGATGGATTGATTTATCTATTTATGATGTTTCGCATCCAATTATGAATAATTCTGACGACGCAGCCTAAAGGGGATGCCAAACGTCATAAATAAATAAATCAGTGCATCTATAACCTAGAACCTTTTATTTATTAAACGAGTGGTGTGCGTGAAAACCTAAGAAACAAATAGTAATTACTGAGTTAGCATCTCTGAATTATGAAAAAGTTGAATTATTTTTACAACAGTAAAATACTGGTAAAGGACAATGGGCAAAACGCACCCAGCTCCGCCAACAATGTAATTAGTATGAATCGATAGATCTATGAAAAACTAGCCTTTTTTATTATGACACCGAAAATAAATATCCTGGGAGTCAAAAGATATGACACATGGGTATATTTAAGTAGCTGCATAAATTCATTTTATAATACCTTCATTTTATATTATTAGTAATCATAATAATATGCCATATCGTACAACCAGATATACGACAAAGCCTGCCGACCATCCTGCGCTTGCTCTTACTGAGACATTTCAAAATGGTTTACGATAGCTGAATCTATTTGCAGTTGCAAATAGTCGACTCGTCTTACTTCGTTGTGATTGTGCGCTCCCTGCTACTTGATTGATTTTTATCTAACACGCTTTGGATATTGGAAGACGATTATCGGTTTTGTCAATTAGTATGGATAAACTGGAATTATGTGTTCTCCGAAGCGTGGACAAGTTTGTGTTATCTGTGGTCGCTCCGTTTTACATAGAAGACAATTTACTATAACCAACAGAATGTTTAAAAAAAACCCAACCCATGCGGGGATTTTTGGATTTATTCTAGCGCGGCAGAATAATATAAGGGGGCACCCTTGCACCATATGAAGTCCCATAATTCCTGAGCACCCTATGTAGGGTCGAACTAACTAACTATATTAATTCCCTTGTTTCATTAATGTTCGTTCGTTATAGTACTTCTACATATTTAACTTAAAATAACTAAGGACCCGGGATGAAATTTGATGCGCTTTGGCACAGATGATCTTGACTATAATACCTTTCAAACAAATGTAGTTTAAGCCGTGGCGGAAGTGGGTGCAGCGCCCATACATTTTTGCCCATTGTCCTTTATTTATCTTAAACAAAGGTTCTACAGCGGTTTTTTGTGCATTGAATACAATAAAATATAAATAAAAACTTAAGGCCAATTACAGAAACTCATTATGTACACGTTAGATACTAACGGCTATTATACATTTAACAGTTTTTATTCCATTTTAAAAATCATATAATTTACTAACATAAATAAAAATAAAAAATTAAATTGGACAAAACATAACAAAATGACAAAAAAAAAACACTAAGTACCCAACTTTATGAAGTGTGTGTGTGCTTGTATGTATGTGTATGTGTGTGTGTCCATGCAGCTGCAATGCTATGCCTCGTAACGAGATGGCGGGCGCCGCGCTCCAGGCACTACATCATTCAAGTACTTCAGTGTAATTCAGTTGTAATTGTAGGCTTACATGGCGCTGAGAATAAAATCAAATAAAAAAAATATATTGAAATAAATGTCAAGGAAAATAATTTAAGACGTATTTGGAAATGCATAAAGTAGCATAATTCTGTACCCCTAGCACGAACCAATATCGAATTCGTGTCGTTTGCGAGTCCGAAATGACATTGTCAAATATGTACTGATTTTAGTTCTCGTTACGTACTTTGTGCCACTGCTGTCCAAGTTTCCATACAATTGACATTTCGGTTTGCAAACTATTCGAATTCGATAATGGTTCGTGCTAGGGGTACTGAAAAGTCAAAAGGGGTGTAGATTAGATGTTTTGACCTTCCTTTATTTCTCTAAAACCGTGACGCACAGTACTCATATCTCAAATTCTAAGACTTGCGTTTTCCTGCTATAGTTCCAGCCTTCAGCATAGTTAGATGTTCTGTACCACTCTGTAAGGATAATGGTATAATGGCGCGATTAGACTTGGTCGCTAGTCCGAAGACGAGTACCAATGTGTCCTAAGTGTAAATGAACGGCGTCGAGAGAATAGTCAGAAATGAAACAAAAGACCAATGTAATAGACAAATATTTATTTATTTATTATATTCTCTTCTCGTCACCGAGTTGTTAACTTAACATTTAACTTACTAACTTTACGTAACTTAATATTTACATTAGAGGATTCTGAACACAGTAATCTATCTAGTCTAAGAATACGATACAATGCAATATATTGTTATAATCATAATTATAGAAGAATACTTATATAATTCGCAAAATAATTACTATGGCGATTCTTAAGCCCAAGCGTGAACTTTGACAGCTCTGTAATCGTGTCGCCATCGTCAAATTTTGTATTCAAAGAGCCAGTTTGTTTTTACGTCCGGTAGGGGCGCTGCTCAGTTTCCATAGAAACTTACGACGATGCAACACGATTACGGATCCATCAAATGCCGTGCTTGGGGCACTGATCTGTAAACAATAAAATTTTATCATAATAACAATTTAGAACAAACCAATCAATCGAAAACGATTTGTATTGTCACGTGACACATGTGAAAAGACATATTTTATATTCTAACAACTATATTTCATAATCACAACTGTGTTAAAGAAAATCGTCTATAACAAAAGTTTTCATAGATTGTACACTTATATATACACAAAAAAATGATAATTTCATAAGTACAAGAAACTTTTTTCTTAACCCATTTTAAGACGATTTTTTTCAATGGTTACATCGCTTGTATAATGGCGTAATCATAGACATAGAGAAAGAACTTAGCGTTTTCTGTCCATCCTCACCAGCGGGGTACAGGATGTAGGGGAGGATGAAAACGGGACCGTGAGAGGTGCGGGCGGCGGGCCCTTGTAGTAAACTATAACTACTACCTATAACTATTGCTCGCATTGGATGTACCATCGGTTTACATCTTCCTAAAAAATTGTTAATAGACTGATTTACTTTTTTTACTTATCAGGTAGATATATTGATTTGAAACGTCACGCCTTGATAAAATTTATACTGAGAAGTGACGCCACGAGGCCCCACTCCTAAACCTTAAAGCGCTTTATTACCTTTGTCATATTTTGGTTGATTGACTGAAGAAAAATATGTGTCCATTATTTTTTGATATATCTTTTTATTTATCCCTTCATCATGCCTATTTCATTTGAGCATCGCTCAGTTCCTTTTCTATATCTATGGGTGTAAATATTCATATTTAATGCGTACACTTACACAACAAGTCGACTTACTAAAAACTGTCATATTCTCCTACCGACTTTGATCTTATAAGATATAAGATTCAAAATCTATTGACAAAATTTACCAGTCTGCGGTAACTTGATGTGGCTGTCTGCACAACGCAATGGCGGCACATACAAAATACACAAACTACACAGAAAGACACCAACGAACGAAAATTCTGTCTTTTACACGAAAATAATATTCACTAAATGCTCAATGTTACAATAAAAAACGCAATAATCTAATTTTGTGTAGAATCAACGAGTGTTTTTATTGCATAAATACGCTTCATATTTATGTACGTACACTTAAACCGTAAATATAAATGATTTCATTTTACCCTACTACGGTTAAAAACGAAACGGCCAAATATTGAAAGTTTTATTTAATATTTTCCTATTGACTTAGCATTTTGACCATTTTACCAAATTGAGAATATTTCCTGAACATATTTAAAAGTATAAAATAATTACCTCGGGTCATTACGGTGCGTCCAGATATAGTTATTATTGAAATGAAATGAAAAGTCATTTATTCAGTGTAGGCTGTTACAAGCACTTGTGAAGGTCAAGAAGCTACGCCATCGGTTCGCAAAACTACGGCAGGAGACCTTGTACTGAGAAGAACCGGCAAGAAACTCAACAAGGGCTGTATTATATAACAAAAGTTCTGTAACATGTTATATAATCGAGACAAATCTTTAGTCATATCGGACAACATATAATAACGTTTCAAAAATGTTACAGGAATCTTTAAAAGAAGCGAAAATGTCGGAAAATTTACGGGTAAAAGTACTGCTACGTGTATCTAGATACAAACATAAAGATTAAACCGATTTTTGAT